GGGGCACACGTACCCAGTTTGATTAGTTTAGATTCAGAAGATAATCACGGTGGAATCAACTGCGCGTTACAAGTGCGGGTTCCCCAGTCAGGCCATGAGAATCCACTTCTTCACTGTTATTGGCATGTGGGTCTGTCTTTTTTGGTGGGTACCCCTGTGTTGTGATTTTAATGGGAAACCCAAACAAACACCACCCATTTGTGGGGTCCCCTAAAGATTACAAACCCATGTCTTATTTTGTTGACCTCGGGTTGGGAATTTAGTGAATATGTCGCACCATGCACTGCGACTTGCAGTGCCCAGCACCAAGCCCGACGAGGGAACAAAACCACCTGTCGGCCAGGGGGGCCGGCTGCTAGGCCCAGTCACAGTTTCTATGGTCTGTTTGAGGTTCGGGGCTCGGGGAGGATGAGCACTAAATTTCAACCACAAAAAGCACGGGAAACATGGTGGTTTCTCAAAACGGACCCCTTTTGGGGTGGTTTTAAGGGAAACCGAAAGGAAAGGTACCTACTTGGAGGGGTCCCCGATTTTTGAGCAACATCCGTATTGACCCCCTTCACTTGAAACCGCGCAATTTCCGCCAGGAGTCGGACTCCGAGTGTGAATCCAGTGGCTCGGGGCCCAGCCCGAATGTTTGGCAGACGTTCCTTCCATGTTCAGTGTCAGTGGATTCCACCCAAATCCCCTTGTTTGGTGGATTCCCCACTCAAGATAGTCAACCCCAGAAAGGGTTTAACGGTTGCCTTGGCATTGTCAACCCCTGATTTACACCCCCAACTTTGTTCTTTCCGGGGCTCCTTTTGTGGTGGGGTTTTCCCTTGTCCAAAGGGAGCGAGCTGAATATTGACTGACTGGGGTTTATGAATCAGGGGTCAACATTGGTTTTCCGCGGAGGTTGCTCGAAATTGAAACCAAATGACACCCATTTCACAGAACCAGTTCCCTTATGTTCAAACCAAACCCGCGTGGGGTCGACAAGTGGGTCCAGGTTTCGCTTGAAGCACGGCAGCCGCAGGCCAGTTTGGACTCCTGTGACGCCCCATGCTGTCTCCTCCAGAATAATTACTCCATATATATATATATATATACACATATGTACACACATTATATATATATAATGTGTATATATATATATATGTAGAATAGACATACATATGTATAGACACACACCCATACACATTTTACATACGGTATGTACATTGGGGTATACCAGTTATGAACCAGAATCTGAACGTGCTTTTTTGTGTGTGTCCCCGAGGTGCATGCAGCACCGGATGGATCGAGGGCAAAAGCTTTAGGATCCTTCCCAACTGAAAGGCCAGACCAAGCTCCGAAAGCCAAGCGAGCCGATTGGGAAGGATGATTCCGTGGTTGGATGAAAACAGTAGGGATTGGTGGTTTATTAACCAGTATTCACAAGCGGGCTTTATCCATCACCAGCCGGTATGACACAGATTTTGTCCATCCACAGTAGGCGGTTTATCAACTAGCATTGCTCGGGTTTCATCCATCTGGTGCTGGCGATTGCAAAGATACAAAGGGGTACATGTACTTTCCCTACCTTTCTCTTGGCCTGGTGGCTGGCGGCCGCCAAATCCCTCTGGGACTGTGCGCCTCTTCCAAAAGGTGCGTCCTTAGAACATGGATTGTCTTTTGTGGGGTTGTACAGGGGGTCCTCACTTTTTTTGGGGCCCTTGGTATCCCCTGTGAATCTGCGGAATACGAGCCCAAAGGCCGAAGCTTTTAGATCATCCAGGTTTTTCCCAAAGGCCCAAATTGGACGCGGGTTTCTGCAAAGGAAAGCGGACGGACTTACTATAGCTGCTATTGGCAGGATCACCCGCGAAGCTTCAGCTTTTCGGGTAACGGTTTTCTCCCACTCGCCGAAGAAAAGGTTGAATTTGCAGAGGACGGAGCCATCTTTGCTCTGGATGTGGATTTGAAGCTCGGGAGAAAAAAAACGAGCGCGGTTAGGCTCCGAGCAAAGCGCCCCCACGGTGGCGACCACTGCCGACCTGGAGGGAGCAGGCCGGCACTCAGAGATTGTGCTTCAGTTCTGGTTGGGTTTTGGTTGGGTTTTGAACCGTTTTTGGTTGGTTTTTGGTTGGTTTAGGTTCGGTTCTGGTTGGGTCTTGGTTGGTTTTGGTTCGGTTCTGGTTGGGTTTCGGTTGGGTTTGGCTGAGGTTCGGTTCTGGTTGGGTTTCGGTTGGGTTTGGCTGTTTTGGGATGGTTTTGGTTGGTTTTGGTTGGTTTTGGTTTGGTTCTGGTTGAGGTTTTGGTTGGTTTTGGGTTGGTTTTGGTTGTTTTTGGGTTGGTTTTGATTGGGTTTTGGCTGGTTTTGGGTTGGTTTTGGGTTGGTTTGGGGTTGGTTTTGGTTGGGTTTTGGCTGGTTTTGGTTCGGTTTTGGTTCGGTTCTGGTTGGGTTTTGGTTGGGTTTTGGTTGGTTTTGGTGGGTTTTGGTGGGTTTTGGTTGGTTTTGGGTTGGTTTTGGTGGGTTTTGGTTCGGTTCTGGTTGGGTTTTGGGTTGGTTTTGGGTTGGTTTTGGTTGGGTTTTGGTTGGTTTTGGGTTGGTTTGGGTTGGTTTTGGTTGGGTTGGTTGGTCTGAATTGGGTTTTGGTTGGTTTTGGTTTAGTTATGGTTGGCTTTGGTTGGTTTGGGGTTGGTTTCGGGTTGGTTTTGGTTTAGTTTTGTTGGGTTTGGTTGGGTTTTGGTTAAGTTTGGTTGGGTTTGCAGAAAACCGCCGGCTTGGTTTCCTTTTGGTTTCACTTGAACATCGCTCAGTTTGGTCTCTTCCCACTTTGAGACAAGCCCACACATGTGCCTTCCTTCCTTGGCATTGTGTTTTTTGAGCAGCCAAATTGAACCTAGTCATTTCCACCGCATTCATGATTTCAATTCCCAACCATGAAGCTGGGAAGGGCTTTCCGACTTCGATGCCAGAAGATCTTTAAGAAGCTTGCATTTGTTCAAGGCCAAACCCGTGAACTCCCCCAAGAAAGAAAGAACGACAACAAACAAACAAACGACAGCCAAATCCCAAGATTTTTACACGCGGCCAACCTCTTAATTTTGTGAGAACCTGGCCATATACTGACCTCAGTGAAAACATGTGTGTTCATCATTTGTTCATAGTGGGGGGCGGGGGCATTTTGTGCCTCATTTTGTCCATCATTATTCCATCATTTCACAAGGATTAATTTGTTGTGCATCGTTTTCTGCAAACAACATGTTTGCGCCGTCTCTTTTTGATATGTTTAGGTCAGTTGTTCATCTTTCCGTGCTAGCTTTTTTTGGCGTTCTACTATAGATTTGTTGGTCGTTTGTCAGTCGTTTTCAGAAGTGACAAATCCTCAGGAGTTTGAGCATGTTGCAAGTCACTATTGTGTCATGTCTTTTTCTCAATGTTTCCATCATGTCTCGCCGATTCATCGTTTGTTCATCGATTTCTGCAAAATCACATGCTTTTCTCCAACAAGGTTTTTCCCATGTTTTCCGTGCAGCATGTAGCAATTCTTCATTGTTTTTTGTTGGTTATATTGTTCTCGCTTTCAGGGACGAACACATGACAAACAAGTGATGAGGCCAAATGATGATGAACTAATGATACACATGATTTGTACTCGTCGCAGTGTTCTCTCAATCTTAATGGGAGCATTCCAAAGGGAACCCCTTACTGTAAGGGAACCCTTGAAGACGACAATTCCCTCGCGATTAACACCACCTGAGGAGAGAAAGAAAGAAATAGAGAGAGAGCGAGAGAGAGAGAGAGAGAGAGAGAGAGAGAGAGCGCGCCCTGATTTCGAAGCGGAGCAGGCTCCCGTTGCCATGCCCTCCCCAGAACAATCGACAAAGAGGCTCCTTGGAGGAAATTTGTCACTAGGACGTTCTTCTTTTTCAGGTTCCAAGTTGTTTTCAAGATAGGTCTTGAGTATGACTCAGGTGGGCTTGAGGTGCGGTGCAAATCTCACTGAGGCGTCGATCGAGCTCTGCATACTCTTTGCCAGACATTGGGTTTGTTGTGAGAGACGACGGGCGGGGTTCGGTTCACGCTGTTTTTCCTTGGATCAGCGGCTTTTGCTCTGGACAAAAGTGTTGCCCAACTGAGTCCAGCAGTTGAACACTTTGCACTCTTTCGGCATTCTTAACCAGCGGGAAGCCGTCCACACCCGTGGCACCCAAAGTGGTGAAGGCAAAACTTGCCATCGCCCACCATGTACATATTGCCGTGGCCTTGCCACAAGCGGATCAAGCTTCCAAGCGCACGTCCGGATGGAGTTGTGAGCCAAGGCTCCAGCAGGCACCGCGCCTTCCACTCGAGCGTGCAAGCGCTTGCTTCGTGGCGGTGCGCCCAGCTGGTCAGCCTGCTTTCGCAGCTTAAACGTTTTGCAGGAATCAAAAGATGCTCGCGAATCACGAAGCTTCGTACCCCATGCGCAGTGCGGACAAGAGCATTTTGTGTATTGTGTGTTCCTCTTTCGCTGATTACGGATTAGGAACCCAAAAAAATAAACATGGAATCCGTTCAGGGGTCCCCTCAGGAAAACTGTTTTTTCCACGAATTCCTTCCAGTTGTTTTTGGGAGGGTGCATCCTCTTCTTTAGGGTTCCTTCAAAAACCGGTCGGGCCATTTGGAAGATCACGTAGATTTGTCGACGGATGAGGAGGCTTAGTCAAGGATGCCGCCTCGAAAATGGGACACATAAAAGTCCACAGGTTGTCAGCGCCCCCCCCCCGGAAATCCCAAAAGGACCCAAAAGAAGCCCAAGGGCCGAACATATTGCCTGTCCCTTTATGAAGGGTGCCCCTTAGAAGGGAAGTCATACTGACTTGAAAGCGAGTTGTGCCATCTACTTTCACCCTATAAGGGATCTTTTTTGAGGGAAGCCTCCAGTGGCAAAAGAGCCATGCAACAAGGGTCCTCACAACAGAGCGAGAAGGCCATGAAGGAATCTTTTTTTCTGGATATTCGGTGTGGTTCTTGGGGCCCCTCCGGCAAGGCGGCTTCCGCTGGAGCCTATCCCGCGGCCAGTGCTGGTTTGGGACCCGCAGTTCGTGGCACCCTCGCTGGCCCAGGGCCCAGAAAACGACGTGGGACCTGGTTTTTTGGGGTGTCTTTTGGGAGTGTCCAGTTTTGAAGATTGCCTGGGGGTGACTGGTTTGAAGCTGGGTGTCATTTGGGTTGCTTTTGAGGGAACGAACAGGACACCGACAGGAAATCCAACACACTGTTTGAGTGCCCCAATCGCGCATTTCTGGCACCATGCGAGTTTGCGCAGAGAGAGGTTCGGTCAAAATGTGTCTGTCCATTTGAAGGGACATGGCGCACTCTTGATGTTTTTTCCAAAGCCCAGGGTCCCTGGCGCAGCTCAGGAGTGAGAAGCCAACTAGACAGTGACAGGTAGCAAATCATACGCTGATGTCTATCCCAGAGTCGGTTTGCCGACGGCCCGACCGTCCAATGGGCTGACTAACTGACTACGTGAATAGCTAACTAACTCAATGGACGGACTGGCCCGCCTGTTGAGTAAACAATTGCCACTCGTGCAGTGAGTGAGTTAGCGGTGCTGGCTGACCAGGGAGCCACACATGCCTGGATTTCTCGGTTTTGGTAGACTCGGGAATACGAATCCACGGAAAAACAATACCCCTCTTGTTGTAGCTTCCATCTGATTCACCCTGCTTCCGGCAGAGATGCATGGGCGATAGACTGGGACGAAGGCTTGCAGCCACGTTCTCAAGCCTTACTCATGCGCTGCATGTGCTCTACCTTGCCGCTACATGGGTGCGTCTTTCTTCAGAGGTACCCTTTTGTGTGGCTTTAAAGGGAAGCTCTCAAAAAGACACCCACATGATCCACACGTGACAGGGCTTCATTCTCTCGCAAACAAGATGGACACTTTGACACCTCCCCCCCTTTTGAGGCAGTCCCCGTTTGAATGGAGGCATCCAAAAGGAACATGCTTTGGAGAGTGGGAGGCCGGGGAGGCCAACCATGTCTACAGGTCCCTCTGAAAAAGGACACGGTGAGCTGAGGACGGCGTGCCGCTGCGTGCCGGGCGCCCAAAAAAACGCGCTCAACCGACTTGGGACTTGGGGTGGGATAGATTTCTTCAGTTTTGACCATGGCACTGGAATTTGCTCGTGCCACATCGGGTGGCGGCGAGGTCCCTCACCGCCTGCGCCAAAGTACGGTGACGGCCCGAGCGAGACTGAAGCTCGGACATCTGCCCTTCTGGCAAGAATGGTCAGGCAAATCCGACCCCAAAACCACAGGTCGCAGGGATCCCGAATTAATGGTGCTTAGTTTTTTTTTTCCAATGCAATTGGAATCCTTCTCCTTGAGCTGATCTGCCAGGATTTGGCCAAGAAGGACAAAGTCGTGATCGGTTCGGCTGCAAGGTGGGCTTCGATTTGCGTAATCGGCAGATCCTGATTGTGCTGGGATCCAAGCTTCTCCCCCCTGTTTCGCAACTTATAAAGATGGAAAGCGAGGGACCGAGGTTCCGCAGAAGCATACTGGTGCGCGCGCAAGTACTCCGCTCGCGCACCGGCACGCAGCCAAACGCCCACCCACACCATGTCTTGGTTTGGCTATGGAAAAACCTCTGAAAACCCCAGACCAAGACACGGTGTGGGACCCCAAGCTTTGGTTGAACCAGCGGCTCTTCCAGTTGTTTGCTTCTCGCCTGCAGATTAGCATGGAACTTTCAGAGGAGGTCATTCTCCCCAAAAGACGTTCCCTTCTTTAAGCATGATGCGTCTTTGGGTTCCATGTTTCTTTGAAGGAGTGCAACCTTTCTCTTTGGGGGAACATGTGTGTGTGTGTGTGTGTGTGTGTGTGTGTGTGTGTGATTCTCCGCTCTTCAACAAATTGCAACTTTTTGCCAGGGGTTCAGTTGGACCAACGGAGAGGAGACGCCGCGTTTCCAACGACAGGCGCGCTGACGGCCCGTCCCTCATTCCGGTGCGAGGCGCGCGCGTGTGTGTGTTTGTGTGGGGGAAGCGCGCTTGAGCCCCTCTCACTGCTTGTTCTCAGTGGTTCAAACACTATATATAAGGGGCTTGGAATTGGGTTGTGGCGTGCGAGTAAAGCAGATTGCCCCATGATCATGGGATAATGATTGTAATTGTTTGGCCCCATTATACTGCGGACTGTCTCTGAATAGACCCCATTCGTGAAACCGCCTGAAGAGGTCGCAAATGTTGAGACGCAAGTAGCGGGACCTAGGATTGTGAAACCGCCGATTGATTGATAGGGTGGTCCAAGAAGGGTATCCGTCACTTTGGGGGACAACACGCTGCCCTTGCCATCGCGGGTCGAGACACCGTCGAATGATCAATGGATCCGAAGGTCGAGAGTGGTGGCACAGGTGTCCGTTTTAGTCCAATTCGGCAAACAATAGGTATAACCCACCAATCGGTTTTTCCAAGACAACTGCCTTTTTCAGAACCTAGGGAGATTGACCGCAAGCTGGGAGCCATGACCATGGCATCTAAAAAGACATATTCATAGTATTGAAGTCAAATCCAGGAAGCAACCGCGCGGGTTAATCTTCAAATTGCAAAATGTTGAATCGAGTGTTAATCTTCATTTTCTAGATCTTTAAACACGTGCTTAAACAATATAACACACGATTTACATCATAATATTCAAACCAGTTCACAGTGTTTTTGAAAACGTTTTTGTAAAACATACCAATGAAGATCCAACTCCAATGTGCAACCGGCCGCTTGTAATTTTTAAAGATATGATTAAAGGGTCCGTGCAAACACGGTGAGCTGTAAGAAGTTTGACGTTGATCTCCCCGTGCGACACGCATGAATAGTATCATGCAGGCTATTGACATTGCTAGTTTGTCTGTTTTGTTTCTTGTCTAGTGCATTTGTTTGGAGAGGACCAGAAGACCCAAGCTTCATTTTAAAGTCGCAGCTTTGGGGGACGAAGAATATTGGCAGCGTTCCACATCCATTTTGGCTTTGCACACCAGCCCAACGAGCCAGAACTAAAGGGGTAAGTGGAGGGTAGCGGCTCTTTGTATCAAAAGAGGTCAAGCCTCACACTTTTGGGCAAAGGCCTTTCGGTTCGGCAGCTCGTAGCTCGCAGCTTGCAGGCAAACTGGTGAACCGCGAAGCCCAGCGCTTGAGTCAGGGGATCGAGCCTTTTGACGCGAAAAGTGAGAGCTTTTTTGTCAAGGGAGAGTGAAGAAAAACCGGAAGAGCAGAAATGCATAGTTAAGCCTGGCAATGCAAAATGGGACGCGGCTTGTCTCACAACAGATGAACTGCAAATATGCCCAGAACGCAATTTGAGGCGAGATACCCTGGGGGCGCTTGTCCGAAGGGCACAATGGACCCTGCCTTTTTTGGTAACAGCATCTTATGTGCTCCTTTTGCTGCCTGGTCGTTTGGTGGCACCGTTCGAGCCTTACGAGAAAGGTTGTGTGGCCCGGTCCCTGGTGAGAATTGTAGTACGTAGCTTCCGGTGTCCTGTTTGGACCGATTGAAGAGATGTATGGACACTAAAAGTGTACAGACTCTATAGATGCAGCTCCACATTTTGGTTTTATGATCCCTTACATCAAGGGAGTTGTGCTTGCAGCGTTCACCCTGGTGCAGTTGTGCCCTTTTGGTATGCCAAATTATGTCACCAGTTCCCTCTAGCAATCGAGCACTCTTCGGGCGTAGCCTCCAAAGCACCTAAAAAAAGAGCGTCACTTAGTGACTTGCAGAACCCCTCTTCAGAACAATGGAGGAGTCGTCGATTTTCCCCAGGTACCCTCTGAAATTTGTGTCTGTGACCATCCAGCGTCCTTAGGTCATTGAACGTCCCTGTGGCTCCATGGGCCGGGCCCGAGTTCTTGGAGCCGTCGGCGGGGCATAGGCGGGAGCGGATTGGAGCAGTTCTGCTGGTTTTTTCGCCAAAGGCCGTGGTTCTTTTTCATTTTTGAGTTGGCACCCCCCTTTGGTGGCTTTAAGGACAAGCACCCACAAACATGGGGTCCCCTGTAAGCAAGACATCCCCTTCACTTGTTTTTGGACCATTCTTGCCGGATTTTGGTGGATCTTTGATGGCTCCTTTTCCGGAGCTTTGCCCGGCCCTTGGTTTTGTCGTTTCGACCGCTTGGGCTGGAAGGGTCGCCGGTTGCGCAATCGCGGGGTTTGCCCTCCGGACATTCTGAAGTGAGAGACAGGAAAAACTTGTGGAAACCACGGAAACTCACGCGGTTACCCGAGCTCCTCCACAGATCACCTGTAGTTTGTCCTTTCTCAGATTCGAACTCATTAGCGATCACAATGGAAGCTATGGAGGTTCCTATGCTCTTAATCACAACTCCCTGTCCCGGGCAATTGTGGACACAGAATCTGTTGGACTTGACATGGGTTTGGTTCCCTTTTTGAGTTACCACCCTGTTTGCTGTGCTTTTGGGACACCAACAGGTCCCCACCATGTTGCGGGGTCCCTTGAAAAAGACATGCCCATATTCCAGAGCGATATCAAGCAATGCTAGTAATACCTCTTTGGAGCGCTCTTCGCAATCCTTTGGTACTCTTTTCCTGCCGCCAAAAAGGGACGGGCGCAGAAAATTCAGGGGTCAAAATTCCCCCTTTTTGGGCTGTTTAGCACCTGTTTAAACAAATATAGATATATATATATATATATAGAGAGAGAGAGAGAGAGACGAGCTTGCGTTCTCAACCACTGACCAGCCTGTGGGATGCTCTACACAAGTCAATCCCAGCAGTTTGGCTTTTTGTGCGGATTTCCCGATTCTAGCACAGCACCTCATTCATTCTGTCCAGGAGTGGTTCCACACCAGCGCGGAAGTAGATGTCCATCTAGGGAGTCCCGGGGATGGTTCCAATGGCTTCGAACACCCGTCCAGGTGCACTCGAGGGTTCTGCCATTCAGACCCCATCCATCATCGAAGGCGACGATTTCGGCGAGCGAGCAATTCAGTGCCTGGCAAAGTCGCGACTTGCGAAGAAAGAACTGGCGGCGCCAACGTGCAGGGAACCCTTCGTTGCTTTGGATTGGTGGTTTATGGATTCGCGCCAATGGCCTTTGTAGAGGGAGAATGGGAAGCCACCCCCTAACCCCTAAACCACTCCAAACCGCCACTTAGAGAAAATCTGAAATGGTATCTTGATGGGTTTGTCTTTCTTGAGACCATGTTTTGCGGTGCCCGATTCAGACACACCCATACCGCTATGAATGTTAATACAAACAAATCGTTGGACACAAATCCCCACCTCCTGGTCGCCAATTAAACATCATGCCCGTATGGGGGTGTCTCAAAATAGGACTCATTCCCCCCCCCCCCTCTGTGTTGGATGCAGTCCTTTCAGATGTCCCAGATACAGGGGACTCAGTAATTTCTCTGGGGAATTGAGCAGTTTGACCGGGTTTTCTGCATCTCTTTTCGTAGAGCGACAAGCAGTGGGTGTTTCTCAACAGCAAATTGACGGGTTCTAAAGGAATAGGATTGAAGCCCCTTCATAAGTATCAAGTAAACGGCAAGTCTGGACGATTTCAGCTTCAATAGTCATAGTGTATGTTAAAGTTGTTGCGGTTAGCAGGAGCTCGTATTTGGATTGCTCTTGGGCGCGCATTTGGCTCAGCCTGAAAAGCGCGTCATTGCGGCGCAGCATTTGGGACTTCTACCTTGAGGAATTTGGAGTGCTTCAAGCATAGCATAGAACAACAAGATAGGACCCCTGTTCTATGTTGTTGAGCTGAGGTAGTGATCGATAGGGATAGTTGGGGGCGTTCGCGTGTAACCGTGTAACCGTCAGAGGTGAGTGAAAGGCGGACAAAAGGATGCTTTCACTGGTCAAGAAAGAAAGTGATTCGGGATCGAGACGATCAGATACCAGCATGGCGCGCGGCAGAAGCCTCGGCCGGGCCCGGGGAGCCCGGCGCGGGGGCTCGAACTCGCAGGAGCGGGGGTCTGCGCCGGGCTCCCCGGTCCGCCTCCTGATGGAACTGGAGGCGGCAAACGCGGCGGCCTCAGGATCAACCTGTGTGTTTGTGTGGAACTTTTGGAACTGATTCATAGTAGTCGTAAAATGGAACTCCATCACTGTAGTCAAAGGATGGAACCCCAATGCAGTTGATCGTGGTCCGTTTGGGGCAACTCACACCATTTGTCCCACAAACAACTGGGAACCACTCATTGTCCCATCATCTTGATGGTCGCCGTATATTTTGACCTTGGCCAATGGCTCATTTCGACCACACAAACCGGGGCAACCAGAGTGATGTTTGTTCGGTGCACAGGCAATTGGCGTCTCCATAGTCATGATCGAGAAATCAATGAAGAGAAGAAGCCGCAACGAATCCAAGCAAAGACGGTATAAGGGATTCATAGTATTTATTAGTTAAGCACAGTCTTTCCAAGAATTGAAGTCAAATTCCAACGTTGAATCTGAGTACGGGATTGGTCGCCCCCGCCAGCCCAGGCACGTGCCGAGGCTGAACTTCAGGCCCTGCAGGCGCGAGAAGAAGGGAGCAGGGAGCGCTAAGCGCGTGCCCACGAAAAAGGGCTGTCCAGGAATTCCCCACACAAAAAATCGTCTGGAGGCTTATTAGGGATCAAAATTACATTGGAAGGTCACCGTGGCCAATGTGCTGCTGGAGCTAGCGGACCACCGTCAGCGGCTTTGGTTCGGGCTAGCAACACGCGGTGACACTCATGACCGCTCGCTTAACATCTAGAGGCTTGCCGGCAAATGTAAGACAGTGTGGCCCCTCCCTTCCCTCCGAAAGTAAACTATTGCGCTTGTACATGCCTAATTAGGCATGATTGGCATGATCTTACCATGACAGAAAAAGCATCGTTTGGTGCAGCGGGCGGACACTCCCCTCGTTTCACCAGTTACCATGGAATGAGACGCAGCCAAAATCACATGTGTAGGCACATGGATCTGCAATGACATCGTTCTGACTCAGAGCCAAGAGACTGGCAATTGCCAGCCATTGGGGCCTGGCTTTTGAAAGCCTTTGCACGGCAGGCCAGGAAGAAGAAGAAGAAGAAGAAGAGCGGCGCGCTCGGTGGGAAGGGGTGGAAGGCAAAAAATCGGCCTTTGGCGGGTTGCCTGGGTCTTCCAAATCAAGGAAACGTCACGTAAACAAACATGTTAGACATATCCCAACCTCATCCCAATCTGGCCCCATTCTGAACTGATCTATGAGAACCGCGCACCTAGAGCTCAGCGCTCAATCCCGCAAAACCCCCGAAACTCCGCAAAAACCTGCAAACTCCTGCAGATCAAGACAACACGGAGTTTCCGGAGAATTGGTTCGGACAGAAGGAGTGAAATACCTCTACAGGAGCCGCATTGTTTGATGAATCCAGCACTGCCGTTAAGAAAGGCAAAGACTTGTGTGAGTCTGCCTGGCTTGGCAACTGTCTGTCAAGAGTACATATGTACAGATCCTCCATTGCGGACTGTCCATGGCAGCAAGTGCGATAAGGGCGCTGATTGAACAGCATCTGAAAGGGGGGTCTTCTATTGTGTTTTCTTTTGCGAGTACCGCTTTGTGGATTGCGTGAAAGGATAACCGCCAGTTGAGGTAGCTGTGTCTTTTGGGGACCCCCCCCCCCCCCAAGAAATGGTGGTGTTCCTTCTCGGTAGGTTTAAACACCACCCCAACAAGGGTCAAACCACACGTTCCCAACATACGCCATCTCGGGGCAACGCTGCAGCAGCTTGCCACCAGCGGCTTCGTCTGCTGCAGGACCGCTGGCACTTCCGCCCGTCGGTGGGGACTTGGTGCGCTTGGGCATTGAAACGTTTGTTTCTGTGTGTGTGTGTGTGTTTGTTTGTTTGTGTCGATTTTGGGGGTACCACTTGTTGGGGGCTTTAAGAGAAGGGCAAAAGGAAAACCACCATTTTTTCGGCGGGGTCCCCTAAAAGAGACACGCCAAGTGTGGGTCAAGCCTTGATGGTCGTTGCAATATCGATCATGTCCTTTGCCCAGTTGCATTTTCTTGTATATATATATATATACATATTATAGGTAACTGGGGGAATTTCAAACCACGACGTAAAACCAGCGAACCCACCGAAAAATTAGCTTGTACCACTAAATGCGAAAAGTTACTCATGGTCATTTGGGGGCCAGGAATATTGCTTACCCTCCATTTGGCATCGACACTTCAGGTACGGGCTCCAGCCGGTGCAGGAGGCGTGAGATCAAGGGAAGGCTCCTTCAAAATCACCGGTTGTATGTTCAGCCCGTTGCTTGCTTGGTTGCTTGCTTGGTAGATTGGTTGGTTGCGTTTGTTCCAGCCTCATCAGGTTCGTGCTCTCCTGGGCCTCTTGCAAGGGGGTGCCAAATGGGGCCATGATGCTGCCAAACATCCGCATGGGCTTGCGATCGGATGTGGAGGAGACCAGCTTCAGCCCGGAAACCTCTGAGCAGATGCAGGCGGATAGGGTCCTAAGCCGTTTCTCGCATCATGTGAGGGACCCCCAAACACACCGCCTTCCAACGCACCTGCTTGGGGACAACTGAAACAGATTAAAACTGGAGTTGTGTTGGGGGTGGTGTGTTTGAGCTACGATCGAAAGAACTTGGTGTGGCGAGGTTCTCGTAGAGTCGATTGCGCATCGCAGACACTTCGGATGCGGCAGGAGTCCCTCTGTCACTTTGTTTGGCCCTTCAGGATGCTGATGCTGGGTGGAACTTTGACGTGGCCAGGAATTTAGGGTAGGGTGTGCGTGAACAAAGGCGGAAAGGACTTGTTTTGTCGGGCTCGACTCATCAGGGTAGGGCAATTCCATCTTTTGAGTTTACCTTTTGCGCGGTAAAATAGCAAACAACTTGGGGTGCGACTAATGCCTACCCGTCAGAGCCAGGGCGACGCCTTTTGGGGGCATGGCGTGAATGACAGGGGGAATGGAAGGTATCACTTGGAAAGGCATTTGGTTGTTCAAACAACAGGTGCAATGATATTCTCATCGCCTATGCGATCCTGAGAAGGCAGGCAAGGTGACTTGCAACGTAGATGCAAAGGAACATCTAATCGCTAAATGGGTTCGAAGAAACGGCCTCCAGCTTGCACGCAAAGGACAATCATGCGTTTAGCATCCTGCAATCCGTTCAATAGAGCCAATACAGAGTCACCACTCCATTGCTCGTCAGGACCCTTGAACACTTGGGTCAGCAATGTATTCGCTTTGCCACAGGCGATTGAGGGCCAGGTCATGGAGGAGGAGTTGGACAAGGCGGTCTCGCCAAAGGTTCTCGGGGTAAGGTGTGCAACTGTGGTTTCTCTTTGGAGACCACCTTTTGCAACCACCCACCATGAAACCTGACAGGTCCCTTTGGTCTTTCGGTGTGTTTTCTCTGAGCAGTTCTCACCCTCAGCAAATGACAACTTGAGTTATTCTTCAATAGCCCTTCTGATCAAACCCGGTGTAGGCGGAGGTCGACACCACTCCGGAGGCTCGTCGGGAGGGCAATTCCATCTCTTGAGTCGGCCTTGTCGCGTCAAGTACAAGAGCAACCAACTTGGGGTGCGACTAATGACCGGGCTGGGCCTCCCAGCGGTCCCTTTTCGAGATTTTCGAGAAACTCGCTTCAACTTGAGCCGAAGCCACCCATTGAGCACCACCCTAGCCCTAAAGCGAGGCATCAACACCCCATTGGCCCACATACCTTTGACAACTTTGCTCTACTGTTGTTGATCACTTTTTAATCTCCTTGCAGATTTTGTGGGGAACCAACCAAGTGGTAATGCTTCTCTTAGAATCCACATCAAACCGTTTTGGCTCTTCCAAACGGCGGCCATTTTCTGCTGACATGCAGCGCCAGCGGCGGTTTTTCGTTTTTCAGCCAGGCCACCTTCGCGGACGCCCTCACGAACGTCTGGCAGAAGGGCGGCTCGGCGGCACGGAGCTGCAAGTACGAAGGGCTCGCTCCAACTGGGGCATCGTACCAAACACCCGGAACTCACTTCACACCCTGCGCCTGAAGTCGAACATGT